CTCCAGGCTTGCTTTGCCCGTTTAGGACAGCGAATGCAAATTGCTGCAAAAAACTGGCACCGGCAAATTGAGCGCTCTGACTGGTTAATTTGCCCGTGTTCCCCCCGCCAAGTTTGCACGTAGGTTCGAGTCCTTGGAGGCTTTGGGGGAATCTAGCTGCAAATCCTGCCTCCCCGTGCGCCGGTGGCTTCTCTGCGGGGATTGCAGCCAGCAGCCTGTGCTGGCTCAGATGCTTTGCAGGCATCGCTTTTTGTATGCAATCCCTTATGCTTAGCCATGGGAGTAGCAGTAGAAAGCAAAGCCTCACTGGAGTAAGTGGGAATGCATGTGGGTGAGGTATTACGTAAAAAAAAAAAAAAAAAAAAGCTAACCAAACAGAAAAATCCCCAGCCTCAAATGAATGAGAAAGGTTATCTGGACTTGATGAACTGCAATGCACCCCTTCTCCTGTCTCCTCTCCATCCCGTAAGGAGTCTACCCAGAGACTTTTGCTGGTCTGGAAACCAACAATATTCACTAGCAAACTTGTTGTTTTATCTTTTTTTTTTTAGAAATAAGAAAATCGCTTTAGTAGAAAAATGGTGCCTGACTTCAGTTGCAAATTAACAGTGGTGAAGATTTTCCTTGCAAATCCCCCTGTCCGTTAATATATCAAGATCTGAGATCTTTCCCCTTAATATGTCCATTTACAGGGTAGTTATCTTACAATGTCATGAACCTATTAGGTTCTGCTGCTTTTGGATTTTAGGTTTTTTTTTCCTTCTCCATGAAAGCCAGTGAGAAAAATCTGTTGGAAGGAATTATCCAATTACATTCATCTTTCTGCATGGATTTAAATTACCAGGAGATCCCAGGGAAAATGGGGCTATTTATATATAAATTAATGACTAAACCACATCCTGCTAATGTGGCAATGCCTGCCTTTGTCATTCTGCAGAGAGGGGCAGTCTGGATGTGCAGTACCGTCTTCTCCTGCATTTGTGACTTAGTGTATCAATACCTCAGGTTGATGCTGTTTCCTTTTGTACTGCAGTGCATTTCCTTTATGCGCTTTATATTTTGCCGTGTAAATCACTTTGACAGAAAAAAAGCCGGGGGAGGAGAGAGTGGGAGCCGGTTGAACAAGGAAAATCAATTTTAAGATGAAGCTGAAGAGAGACCAGATACGTTCTGAGTTAAGGCAGGAGATCTTATGTAATGAGGATCCTCTAGGTTTATTTTCTGTTTTAACACTTATTCTAACTTGCTTTGTTTTCTGTCTTCTCTTTTATTTTGGCTGTGACCTCGCCTCTGACACTGGCTTCCTCTGAAAGAGCGAGACTCAAGTGCAGTAAGTTCAGTTACCTCCTCCTCCCCCCTCCCGCCCCGTTATCTTAGTTTCTGATCACTGTGCGCTTTTATTTTATCTATTGTTTGAAAAACCAGACTTCTGGGCGTGAGCTTGAGGGATGTCTTTTGTATGGGTCATATTGAAAAAAAGAGAGTTGCGTGGAAACGGCCGCTTGGGCCGGGTCGTGCCGGAGCAGCCCTCCGCGTCGTGCCAGGAGACCTCCTCCGTGCCAGTTACGAGATTTGGTTTAAATCTTTTTGATTGCCGCGCAGCTTTAAGATTCAGTTTCAATTGACTAAGCTTTGTGAATGAGTGCAGTCAAGTCTGCGCGGATAGAAATCCTTCGGCGATTAGGAAAGCTATTTTATTCCTGATCACTCTTCTATTATCTTGGGTCATCTAATCTGTCGGGATGGTTTGGGCTATTACGCTGCGTTAAGTAGGACTTGGAAGGTCAAGCAGTTAACTAACCATCTGAACAGCCGTGGTGGAGGGCAACTGTCACCTCCAGCGCAGCCTCTTTTTTCCTGTCCTCTGACATCTCTGCATCGGCGGCAGGGTTTTGGTTCTTGTTTTGACTGGGCTCTGCCTTACAGTGCGTGATCGGGCGTTTCGCAAGAAAAGGGGAAGGTGGCCGCGCGGGGCAGA